TACTCTCCGCCTCACTAAGAAAACTCTCTTCCCGGGCCCCTAGGTGGCGATTTAACACAACTTTGCTTAAAAATGATAATTTCTGTAAACAATTTAAGGAAAAACTCACCGATTTTTTTTTTAATGTAGGATCTGTCGAAGATCCTAGGATATTGTGGGACTCAATCAAGGGATTTATCAGGAGCAATTCAACACTATTTGCATCTAATCTGCGAAAGGCTTGACTCTCCAAATTGGAAATATTAGAAAATGTGTACGCTAATCTGAACGCTTCACTTCAATCGAATTGCACTGAACAGCTTAATTTAAGGTTAAAGGTAGTTAAGAAAGAAATCAACTCAATTCTTAGACAGCGGTCTGAATTTTTTATGCACAGGACAAGACAACACTATTACTTCCACGGCTCTAGGCCTAGTCACCTGCTGGCTATGACAATTCGTGCTGATGAACACTTCGCTGACATCCCTTCTATCAAAACCCAGCAAGGGGAGATAACCACCGACCCTAAGCGGATTAATGATGCATTCCAATCCTTTTATTCTGAATTATATAGATCTGAAATTACTTTTGATAAAACTAAATATGAGCTGGAATTACCATGCTTAACAGAGGATGATTCCAAACAATTGGCTGAGGCCAAAGACCTTGGAGGAACTTAAAGCAGCGGTCCTTGACATGCAAATGGGTAAGGCGCCTGGGTGGGACGGCATCCCCCCAGAGCTCTATTTTACCTTCTGGGACCTTTTGGGCCCGCTGTTGCTTTCCATGATTGCATTTTCAATAGAACAGGGTAGTTTTGCCAGAGATGTTAATACAGCTCTTATCTCTTTACTTCTAAAAAAGGATAAAGATCCATCTGATTGTAGCAGCTACAGGCCCTTAAGCCTACTTGGTGCCGATCTTAAAATGTATGCGAAGATCCTGGCTCATCGCTTACAGAACTTTATGACATCTCTAGTTCACTGTGACCAAACCGGTTTCATAAAAGGTCGCCTAGCCTCGGACAATCTCAGGCGATTGCTGCACATCATTGATGCTAGCAAAGATGATAAAACACCAGCGGCTGTATTATCTCTGGATGCTATGAAGGCTTTTGATAGGCTAGAATGGTCATACCTGTGGGCTGTTCTAGAGTCTATGGGATTAGGTAAGGGGTTCATCCATATGATCAAAGTACTTTATTCTGCCCCTTCAACAATGATTTTAACAGGCAAAACTATCTCGTCGCTTTTTTCTGTAGCAAGGTCATCCAGACCCCTTGAGTCCAGGGCTCTTCGCCCTCTCGCTCGAGCCACTGGCCCAATTGATTAGACAATCACAGGATATTATCCCCATTTCTATCCAAAATGTACTGATTTTTATGCGGAACCCCTCAACGTCTACAACTCGTCTGCTTAGTGTAATAGAGGAATTTGGCAACCTATCAGGTTTTAAGATTAATTGGCCCAAGTCTTTCTTTGTGCCTCTCAACGACGCTGCCAAATCAGCTATTCTCCCTACAAACATTCCTTTGGTAGAACATTTCAAATATCTTGGTATTGAAATATTCCCAAACCTTAACAAGACTATAAAGAATAATTATACAGACACGTACAACAAGGTTCTCCAGGACCTCAATAGGTGGTCGAGCCAGCCCAACTCACTACAAGCCAGAGCTTCAATAATTAAAATGAATATACTGAGTTAATTTTATCAGTTCAATGATTCCTTTATCGTCCCCCAATGGTCATTGGCAGAAACTACAGTTGGCAATTTCAAAATGTATTTGGAACAACAAGCGGCCTAGACTCAAAATGTCCACTACTCAACGAAAGAGGCTTGATGGGGGGCTGGCAGTACCACATGTTAAATTGTATTTCTGGTCCTTTTCATTAAGACCTTTGATTAATTGGTTTGACCCCCAAGCTGTGGTTTCATGGCGGGCTTTAGAAGAGAAGTTAGTCTCCCCATGGAGACTTCAGGACATCATTTACACAAACATATCTATCAAACAATGTCAGCTTAGGTTCGGCCCTCAGATTACTCATGTAATTCAGACTTGGCGAAATGCACAGAAATGATACGCTATTCAATGCCCCTGGCATCTCAATTCGCCAATATTTAATAACAACCAATTACTCATAGGGCGGAGGCCTATTAATTATTCCCAATGGAGGAGGAAGGGTCTTCACACCTTGGGAGATATTTACAGTGACAGTGGTCTCCGCTCTTTTCAGGATCTTAAAGGCTGTTATGACCTTCCAGGCGCTTTGTCTCTATGTTTTATACTCACCTACTTGAGTCCTCTTATGGTGACCTTCCCTTAGATAGACTGTGGAGGAAGGATGTCCCAGAATTAAGACCTGATTTTAACTGGGATTCAGTCTGGGCTAACATTCGGCAGGCGTCTCGCAATCCCGACCACCAACTGTTAGGCTTCCCGAGAAGTGACTGGAGATGAGAACCCGCTATGCAAGCACTAAAACTGAGACAGTGGTGAAGTGTCAAAAAAAGGCTTTATTTTGTCCACCACACTGGCAAGGAGTTGACGATGAGCACATAGAGGGGAGACGTGGAGCTGGGATACAGGAACAGGAAAAACAAGCAGGATTAGGAAATAATTTCCATTCACAAGGAGCATCAAAAAGTCACTAGGAAAAACATTAGTAGGCCTGGACGATAGTTTACCACTGAAGAATAAACGAAGAACTGGTGAAGTCTGAGGATGGGAACCAGGATTTTAAGCAGGTGCAGGTGAGTAGTGGCAATCAGTGAGATCGAAAGTAGGACAGCCACGCCCAGCCAGGAAGACAGACACACAGACAAACAGACAAAACAAACACAGAAGGGGGAAAAGAAGGAGGAAGTACTGCAGATCCTCACACCAACAAATCCACCTGAACTATGCGCATAGAACTTACCTGACACCCAGACGGCTGCATATGATGGGTCTTCTGGCAGATGATCGGTGTACCCTGTGCTCCATGGGGGCTCCTGGTACATTTCTCCATATGTTCTGGGAATGCCCGCCTGTTGCTCGCTTTTGGAACGGGGCCTCCTCTATGTTGTCCGACATATTTTCTTTGACTGTACCTGTATCTGTTTTTCTTTTAAATGACTTATCTCAGCTGCTACCAGAAAAGACCTCTCTATGCTGGCCTTACGGCTGCCAAGAAATTGGTTGCTATGAGGTGGAAACAACCAGACAAGCTCTCAGTGACGTAGTCTACATGGAACTGTCCACTGCACGCGTGATTGGAGTTAAAGAGTCCAATATCGGTTTATGGGTGTCGACAGCTAAAAAATTGAAGGAGCGGATCTAGCTATCTTAACCGATATATTTGTTTGCAGTCATTGGTCCTGAGAGGTCCTGGGATTGGGGGTGGGAGGGTTTATTTATTTTAATTTTATTATTTTTTTCCCTTAGTTTTGTCCTCTTGTCAGATTGTTGTTATTGTTTGTTTTTCTGTATTTTTTGTAATTTGTGTTGTGATTGTACATGGTAACTTACTAAATGTGTGTGAATAAAAACATTTGATCAAAAAACAAAACAAGAGAATAAATAGAAAACAGGCATGAAATACTATATGACAGTAAAACAAGAATACAGTTTAAAAGGGGAGTGATTAGTAAAATATCCATGAAGAAAAAGTAAATCTGTTTACAGTTCTGTTTTATATGGGTGTTGAGAGATGTATCCATAGATCTCTTAATTTTGCACTCAAAGTGCACCAGATTGATGCATTTAACTTCAATATTAAAAAAAATATCTTCCCAGGGAAGCATGCCCCCGGACCCCCCTAGAGGAGTGCTTCTCAAACTTTTTTCAGTAATGTACCCATTTTGAAACATCTTCTCAGCCAAGTACCCCCTGACCGACCACGAACATTTTTGATAGAAAAAGCCTATATAAATAATTACAATATAGTGATGTTCCATCAGTGTAGGTTAGGGTTAGGGTTAGGAACTCCTTCCTGCATGAATTACAACAAACTAAGGATATTTTCATCTTCAATATAACGATATTTTTTAAAAACTGATTTTTAAGTAATATATGTTTAACAAACCAATGAACAAAATGATATATTATGCAAAGACTATCAAATACAATACCCAAATATTATGCTTGGATAGAGTAGATTAAGAGAGAGAAACCATGAAAGTCGAAGGGTTTTTTGAACTGAGCTAGACCCTCACTCTAGCAATCGGATTACAATTTGAGTTATTAGTAATCCGAGCAGTTCTAAGTGCCCTCCAAATATAAGATGTCAAAGAATGATTTAAAAATGAAAACTGGTGTCATTTGGAAAAGGTACAGGAATGCAGGGAGAATAGTCATTATATAATTAATATGGCCTACCAAAGACGTAGAAAGGGGGGACCACTACACCATACGCTGTTTCATCTGATTTAACAAAGAGTGAAAGTAAAGTAACTTATATTTTCTAGTAACTGTAATGTCGAAGTAAGTAAACCTATCTTGCACCACCTTAAAAGAAAGGGTGGTATATTCAAACGCAAGTGCCACGCTATTAACAGCAAAGAGTTCACTCTTGTGCAAATTCAGTTTATACCCTGAAAACTGACTGAATTGGGTGAGTACTGACAGCATGGCAGGCAATAAGTAGCTGAATTTGTTAAGAAAAGTAAAAGATCGTCCGCATAAAGGGACACTTTATGTTCGACCCCACTCCTCCAAATCCCAGAAACATCTTGGCTACTGCGAGGTGCGATGGCCAGCGGCTCCATGACCAGATCCACATGTAACGGGCAACCTTAGGGGCAACCTTGACAAGTGCCTCGTTGGAGGCTGAAAGGCTTGGATTGTGTATAGTTTGTGAAGATATCGTGTTTTTGTTTATTTGTTTTCTATTTCAAATGTGATGTTGATCGAATGTGAAAAGGGTTCACACTGAGATTTCTGCCAATGCATGGGAGCTCTTCAACATAAGAGGCAAGTTGAAATGTCCTTTGCCTGGACATTTCAGAGTAGAAACACTCCCTCATCTGAGGACCAATAAAACACAGTCACTGAGAGTGGTTTGTTAGGAAGTTTATTAAAATATTTACAAGTATGTCTGTCACCAAGACGGAGACTGTCTAAGTTTACTATAGAGAAGAACATGTATAAGGTGCAAAAACAAATACTGATGCAGTGCCCCTAAAGCCCCCACACAAAGCTACGCTATGTACAACAGGTTCACATTTACTGACATCAGACATCTTGTTCGGGTATAAGCCATGCTGAGAAAACAGGGAATCCACATTTACTCAAATCTTGTTGATAGGACCTCTTATAAGCCTCTTTCTTCAAGTAGACATGCTGCGTACACCCTAGTTCACAGACTTGTGGGGTATCGGTTTGAAAATAAGAAAGAAATAAAACATTGACATGAGCGAGGAGCCGTTAGCTGTGCTGTATGTAGCATCAGTAGTGAATGCTAACACTACTTCTGTTTACAATCCCAACAAAGCAAACTAGCTGTACAAACATGACAGCCAACGTAACACAGTGTATCAGAGAAATATAAAGCAATTAGAAAGCTCTAATAGAAATGTGACTCGAGTTCGTGAAAATTATATTTGAGGGGCTTAGAATGCGACTTGGAGGCTTGGTGCCTGGCACCATCGCACTTCATTTGTAGTTGTAGCTTGCCAAAACTGTGATTACTGGATAACTGCCATTTCACTTCATTTATTAGTCTGAAGTTGTGATCATGCTTCCCCTTTTCTGCAGTGGGGGTCTTATCAATGTCATTTTCGGTCAACAAAGAAGAGGAATCTTTCCAATTTTGAGTTTCTGTAATTTGTAGCGCTGCGTCCATCTCATTTCTGTTTGTTCACATTTTTATATCACTTTTTTCAACTTGGTATTGGTAGATTTTTTCAACCAGCGGGAAAAGACATTAGCAAACTATGCCCAATTCAAGGATTTGGGCAGTAATTCAGAGGTCCAGACCTCGTCCAGCCCGCCTCGTTTGTTACCATATTGAGTCTTTTTTTTATAGCAACGCTACAAGCTTTGTTGTACTTGTATTTCTTTGAGTAAAAATACAAGATCAGTATTGGTATAATTTGTGTTCATGTAATAACTCATAAAACACATTGTATTAATAATGAATTAAATCATTAATAATTTGTCTGTAAAAATGTCCTTAAACTGTCCCAACCTTGACCAAGAAAATAAATAATATCTGTTGTTATTAATGGAATGAGACAGGTTTGTGAATACAATGTCAAATTGTGATTTTAATCAAAAATGTTTTTTTCTTTCAGCAACTATACAGTTTTGCATTAATCCAGCCATACAGATGGAACTCCACAATTAATTGTGCTTTCTCAGAGTTAAGATAATCTGGGGAGCGACTGGGCAATGCTAATGTTACTCTTACTGATCTGATAAATGCTGCTGTGGGTTATGATTATTTGAATGCATTTTGTTAGCAGAAGCTGACCTGTGACCTTGTAGGAGATGGGACTCTGTTAAGAGCAACTCATTCATCAAAATCAAACTTTAAATATATCAACATAAATAAACAAAGGGAGCTAGTATTTGCTCTACACCTTTACAAATAAATACTTGGTTTTCACCTTTTTGAATCCACACTGTCAATCTGCTGGAACAGACTTCTGAGAAAACAACTAAAGGACACAGGTTGCACATCTCCATGGTGATTCAGTTTAAAGGGTTGTAGTACTGACAGGACAAAAAGCAACAACTGCTTCTGTTCATGTGATTGCCATGTTACCCAACGCTAACCCTAACCCTAACCCTATGAAAAGTTTTAAATAAATATATACACACATTTCTTGAAAAGTAATAAAGGATACAAAATAAGACTGATGTGATGGGGGGGTTTATGTGCCTGTCTTCTGCTCCCATTCCTGAAAAACAAACACACAAAACAAAAAGGTTATCTCCAATATCATTTTTACTGTGCATATCATTTTAACACTGCACAACTGGTAGCACAACAAAAATACATTCTAGAGGAATAAGGAAGCATGATAAGTGTGGCACATTTAAGACTTCAAGTGGGCTTGCCAGGCACACAGAATTAGGTATGCTGAAAAACAAGACAACTATTACACAGAGCTATTACACATTGCTGTGGCCCCTGTCTGCCTGTGACCTCTGACCTTAGCTTTCCTGAGGACGTGGCCCCGGACCGCCGGCGCCTTCTGGCCCTGCTGCCTGCGGAGAAGCGAGGCGCTGTTGACGGGCAGCGAGCACGACTCTGTGTCACTGGTGTCACAGCTGGAGAAAGGGGAAGACTCCTGTTTCTTTCGCAACATAGCCGGTGACTACACACACGCATACACACACACACACACACACACACAAACACACACACACAGGGGAAATTATGAATTGTGCCATGCAGTTTATATAAAGCTAGCAACTTGAGACAGTAACGGTGTTTTTACCTTGACTCCAGAGGAGCCAGCCTTTGGTTCAATGGTGAGGCCCAAGGTGACCCCCCCGCTCAGGGCTTTCTTCAGGCTTTCCTTCACCTCTGTCAGCTCCAGCTCTAGGGTCACCCGCTCCTCTTCCCTCTGCCTGCAGTCTTCCTCCACCTTCTTCAGTTGCTCCATCAGAGAGGCCAGTGAACGTTTGCCTTGTTCAAGAGGAGAGGGAAAATATTTGTGAATGTTTTTTCATTTTATTAAGATGTTCCTGTAAACTCTAGTTAGTCCTACCAGGTGAAGTCTCTACTGCAGTGCGCAGGTCTCTCCTCTCCTTCTTCAGCTGGGTCAGATGGTTCCTGATCTCCTGCTTCTTCTTCATCAGCTCTCCCTCTTTAGTCTGCAGCCGCTTGGCGTCGGCCTCCACCCGGTTCTTGCCATACTTACACTGCTCTGCATCTGCAAAACAGGGATTGGTTGTGAAAAAGCTTGTCCTGCAGGCTTTTTACTAGAACTACAGTAGGCAGTGTCTATAGTAGGCAGTGTCCTCTTTCTAATCATAAGGTATTTTATAATATGCAATCAATCTAAAAACATTTTTTAAGATTCATACATTTAATTGTAAAAGGCCACACCTAAAAAGACGTTACAAGGACTATAATACAATATAAATATATTGCCACTGAACCTCTGCTGTCCACATATTTAAAACTGAAAAAAAGGGATCTGGTGTTCTTGCAGGAGACCCACCTGGAAAAAATGGACTCTTTATTATTTCAGAGGGATTGGGTAGGAAAGGTTTTTTATAGTGCCTGATCATAGTAGGTGATCTGACTGTTGTTAAAGTATTTTAATTTTGAGATTATTTCGTATCAAAACCTGTGCTAGAGGTAGCCAGAGGGGAGATGGATAGCTATCGATACTATATATGGTATTAGATGTACTTTTATGAATGCCCCAACAGCGCACTTGCCGGGTTTCTTTATAGTCGTCAGCAATACTATAAGACAATTCGGAAACTCGTATATAATATTAGGTGGGGATTTTAACAAAGTTAGGGACCCTCAAGTTGATAAAACCTATAGACGGGGCCCCTCAGGGGCTGAGAAAGCTATTGACGCAATGGAAAAAGAGTTAGGATTAGTGGATGTATAGAGATTGTTCCACCCGCTGGAAAAGGAATATACCTGTTACTACAACCCACATACATCCTATTCAAGGATAGATTATTTTCTTATCTCAAAGTCACTCATTTCTATTACAGAACATAGGTTCTTACCTATCTTAAAGGTCCCATGTCATGGCCATTTCTACTGATCATAATTCCATTGTTGAGGTCTACTAGAATAGATTTATATTGTGCAATTTTCCAAACTCACATTGGTTTCTCATACAGCATCTCTGTATAGCAGTGGCGGTTCTACAGGGTGGCACGGGGTGGCAGCTGCCACCTCAGAAAAATGCCTTGCCACCCCAGCTGCCACCCCAGTTGGCAGCTTTGTTTTGAAAAAAAAGTTGTGGCTCATCGGACATTTATGAGAGAAAATCTCTAATGTCCGAGTGCAAGTGAATGCAGCACAAGATGCGAGCCTTGTAACCCCTCCCCCGGCCCTGGAACGAGCGTCGAAATATGATTTGCGGCGATTTCATTTGAACGGGGGACAGCGCAAAACGAGAAGCATTTAGGATCCAAGTAGACGGAAGGAATGAGGTATTTGCGGTCAGTGGCGGCACCAGGGTATGGCTGGGGTAGGCTACAGCCATACCAAGAAATGGCTTAGCCCCACCATGAAAAATGATGTTAAGGTAAGCAAAATAAAGTCCGCCAACTTGCGCCGAGTAAATTGCACAGACAGATTGATTTCAGTAGCCACTTGTCTGGAAATACCGAAGACTAGAAACGGTTTTTTAAACTTTTGTCACGTAGTGATCGTCTTCTCAATAGAACATCTTTGATAATGTCTTCTGGCCAATCAGAATCACGATAACGGCGTGGTGTTGTTGCAGGAAGTCCCGACGGAGAATACTTTTGCTGTAGTAGGCTACATCTCTATACATCGATACATTACGTGTTGATAGAAATCAACACGTAATGAAATAAGACCCCACGGTTTGATGATTGATAGGTGTGTGGGCTGTCTTTCATTTTGACACACAGAACAATGGGGGCTATCCACCCTTTACTTAATGTAAAGTAATTCACAGCCTCTTCCCTCTTCTCTCTGTGAGGAGCAGCAGGTTCAGCTTTCAGAACAAAGTAACAAAAAAGTAAAATGGCATTCATTTTTTTAAATGTGTAGTAATAGATGTATTTTTCTTCTCAAGAGAGTACCAGAATGTGTATTTTATGTTAGTATTTCAAAAAATCTCCTGGGGGAGAATCCCCCCAGACCCCCCTGCAGGGGTTGGGTTTTCAGCATGTCAACTCTTTCACCTGTGGGGAAATTGCAGGATTGGCTCCAGGTCGCCCTTTTTATTTACTACAAGACAAATGTGCCTTTTTATTTCATACAATTCAATTTGGATTGAGACAGGGAAATAATCTAAAGCTCACGCGTGGCATTTCACTGTCAAGGGGAGCGTGTATGTAATTACATTGCAAATACTGACTTCACCCCACCACTGTATGGGTTAGCCCTACCATAGATTACCCAACAAAAATACTTTAAAAACTGTTTGCGGTCTACAATGACAGAGAAGAGCCTGTCAAGTTTGGCTGTACTCAGCATTGAATCAAAACGCACCATAGCTTTAAATCTTAATAAGTTTGTGAGGCATTTTGCTGATCAAGATGGTAATCGCCAAATTCAGCTGTTATAGGCATGCCAACTTGATGCTCTGCTCACGGATGACTCGATGAGCATAAAAAACTGTTAAGATGATGACCTTACGTGTGTATAATATTTTTCTTCTTTGTGGGGTTTTGCCCCCAAAAAACATTTTCAAGTCCTGAGAAAGTCAAATAAGACGATGTGTAAAACTACACTGCCCAGCCAAAAAAGAGTAACCACTTTGATTTAACTAGGCCAGTAGGTAAGGACTTTCCACTGGATAACTGCAGCGATGTTTATGTTTTAGCTGAATACACGTTTTTTAACCCTAACTGATGCAGTTAGTCACTTCTTTAATGTTTGTTCTTTCTGATATAAAGTCAAGGTTGTAACTGTTTGCAATGAAGTTGTGGGGCGCTGAACGTTTCTTTTGATTCTTTTGATTTATGATAGTAATTACTTGTCTTTCAAATTTGAAGGAGGATGAGCAAGCATCTTGAGGAACATTCATCATTATCTCCTCCAAAAAATATAGTTTATTTAATAATAACACTGAATATGTGAATCATAACAGTGATTCTGATAGGAATAATATGATTGTTAATATTATCATATTCATACGGACAAACATCGATGAGACAGGTAATTAATGTACTTATTGCAGCAGTCTGCATAGATTTGGTACCCCTGGTATTGTTCAGTTAAAATTCATTAAATGATGTGTGCCACCTTATATTTATATGTAAGGCTTTACAGATGTGCCACAATAATGTCACCTAATGTTATTGAGTTAAAATATCAATATTGTGGCTTTCCAAGTTAACATTGATTGATATGACTGCGATTAAATCGGCATATACTTCTGCCAGGGGATGCCACCCCTGAAATTCTCCTGCCACCCTCTTGCCACCACATGAATATTTTTCTAGATCCGCCCCTGCTGTATAGTATGTGTATTCACTCTCTGTCCTAAACGGCTTGTTGGAGCTCCTGCCCCCCCCTCCTTGTGAGCCCAGTGTGCTCCGATTGGTCAGCTCGGCCACTCTGTTCTAATTAGTCAACCACCAGATAGGCTCCGCCCATGTCTAACACAGTGCTTTTTTCGTCTCTGAGCGGAACATCAGTTTTACAATGGCGTCGGTACAGCCGTATATGTTATACGCTAACTAACCGAACTGTACCTACTGTTGTTATTTAGGTGCACTTGTGGAAACTGCGCCATGATGCCTACCAAAGTGGAAAACGTCTGTTGCTAAGAAATTAGAAAGGTAGCCTAGCTGACAGTTACAACATTATGTAGCCAGCTAGCTGAAAACACCAACAGTAGCACACAACATTATATGCCAATATATACATACCCCACACCCTGCAGAACCTCCATAACATGTACAGATTCGATTATAGACCTTTGAGGCGTAGAACTTGCCCAGGGACACAACGACATGCTGACTGCAGTGGGTTTTGAACCTGTGCTCCCCTGATCCGAACACCAACACATATTCCACTGCGCCACGATTATTCGGACACCCGCTAGGTGCTGGGCTCAAAACATTAGCCTGCTTCACATCATTTTCTATCTGCCAGGAGACCGCCCCAACCACGCAGTTTAGTGGAAGGATTTCCTCTGGTTCCTTGGCAGTAGGCTCTGGCTCAGAGTCGTGACTGGTTTTCCATTCCCGGTACCCGGTCAGAAGGAGGCGGTGCGACGTGCGGTATGCTAATGGTAACATACGCCAAACATGCTAAATCATATCAGAAGGCATCAGCCAGATTTGCCAATCACCGGAGCCCAGCAATAGACAACAGCAGTTTAACAGCTTATCCCAGCTGTTTTTAAGGCGAGACACGGCAGGCAAAAACATCGTTTTTCATGCACTGGTACATTTTGAGATTTTGTGCTAATTTGATTCTATAACATGTTTTCTTTCAGGCTTTTGGAAGGAAAACGTAAAAAATACACATTTAGATGTGTATTTTTTACTATAGTTTGTCTATTTGCGTCTGTAGATTTCTCCTAAATTCATCAAAAGTTAGCATTCTAACGTAACATAAAGTACCGCAATCGCTGTTTGCACCACGTAATCAGAGGTATCGTTGGAAAGTTCCGTCTCTCCTGCACAATCTCATCGGATCCAAATATGGTCATTTCCTTTCTCTCAGCAACCAATCGTGGAAGTACTGTACAAAGGGGTCGTAAACCAAAAAACGAAATCTCATTGGCTGGTGTCAATTTCTGACAACGTGATTCATTCAGATAAGTCATGTGGTGTGCTAAAACACTTCCTGGTTTAGCTTTCCGCTGGAAATTAAAATCTAAAAATGGCAAAAGAACAGCGAAAAAAACGTTCACAGAGAAGACGACAACAATTGTCACTTGCACAAAGCAAGGTTAGACAAAAAACAAATGACCCTGACCATGAAATACCTTCACAGAGTGCGTAGAAGCTTTCATCCAAAGAACAGGAGGGTTTAGGTAGCGCCGCACAGCAATCTTTAAAGGTTGTTTTTTCAAAATGATTTTTTTCTCCTATTCTGAGTGAGAGATTTCCACTTCAGTAGAAATCATGTGTCATGTGGTGTGTGTTAAGTGTAAGTATTAATATGTCTGCATGTAACTGCACTATAACTGTTCCACAGTAAGAGGGCGCTATAGGCGTAAGGAGGCGCAGCTAGTGTAGCTGACGTCAT